TTTCAGATTTTGGTATAAGTGGCAAGCCTCTGTTCATCTAACTTTTCATAATCAGATTCCCCATTTCCCCCTCTAGATTCTGAGAAATAAAATAATGAAGATTTAATTTAGATTTCTAGAGTCAGATGCCTGGGCAGAATCTAACTGTCCTCTCAACCCAGAACCATCTTTAACGCTCCTCCGCCGATAGATTGGCAGGCGTGTGATTATAATCCTCACCCTGTCGTTTTAATATCTCCTCATTAAGTAGCCCTGTGGAGAGTGCTTGTTCTGTTCCAGAGATGTGTGGCTCTGCTCTTGACAGGAAAGCCATTAAAAGTAGCCAAAAAAAAAAAAAAACTTTAGACGCAGCGGGCTCTTTTTATTGTATAGATTTATAATAGCTTTCTATTCAATCATTATAGTGCAGACAGAATATTAAGTTGTGAATGATGACTGAATGCTAAACTATCAGATTTTTTTTTTAATTTTGAAACTCTATTTAATATAATGAGTAACAGTTAAGAATACAAATAACATTACAAAGCACACCTTGATTAAAAAAAAAAGATGAACATAGCATTTCATGTAGCAATTAATGTGTCATGACTCTTTAGGAACCGTAAAACGAACGAAAGTTATGAATTCAAGGGCTAAACTCATGGTTTTCTTTCAAATTTACAACTGTTAAAGTGCAACGCTTTTGCTTTTCTTCTCATGATTAAAAAAGGTCACAACACTTATTTCTGAAAACCACTGACCTTTACGGAGAGGATGAAGTTGGTGAGATTAGAAAACCTTCAATGAAACCAGGAACCTCTATAGTTGTTGTTTTTTTTTTTCTTCATGAGCATGGTGGCATCTTTCAACACACCATTTAGCAAACGGCTATTTAAAACATTAGGGATGAGAAATGAGAGACAGCAAACAAATAAAGTCCTGTTTCTTGGAAACAGTCCAGTGCCTACATCCCATATAATGCTTCTGGTGCAATGACAGGCTTTGGTCAAACTTGAATCTTGAATTAGGAAAGGATTATTTCACCCAAATATGTACTGTGGAGATCAAAATTAGAGAACAACCTATAATTTCCTAAATGTCAAAGTCACTGCTTAGACCCATTTGAAGCTATCCTAACAGGAGTAGAAGCATTTTTAAGTATATTTCATGAATTAATTGTATTGTACTGGCAAGCAATTCCAGCTGCAGTGCTGAACCGATTCCCCATTGAGAGTATCTGCATTATCCTGTTTTCTCGTGCATTTGTCTTAAATAGATGACCAACCTTTTGGGGGGACATGAATGAATTAGTGTTATTGTAAACCTGCAATATTCGAGAAATCACACATTTGGAATGAACAGCTTCTCTTGCAGTGACTGAAAGGGTCATCCCTTTGGCCTTCATCTGAAGCACTGTATATAAAAAAAAAAACTTAAATGAGATATTTGAAAAAGAACACTTACAGATACCTCCTAGTTATTGGTGTTAATCTGGCACCTGGTGCTAATTTCCTTAATTATGTGACAAACCCTATCTAACTGGTAACAGAATTAATTCAATTTTCACTGAGATTGCAAGATGGCAGGCCTCTCTAAGGTGACTAAAACCCTGCAACAGGAGGCGGTCCAGATGAAGGCCAAAGGGATGACCCTTTCAGTCACTGCAAGAGAAGTTGGTCATTCCAAATGTGTGATTTCTCGAATATTGCAGGTTTACAATAACACTAATTCATTCATGTACCCCAAAAAGGTTGGTCGTCCACTTAAGACAAATGCACGAGAAAACAGGATAATGCAGAGACTCTCAATGGGGAATCGGTTCAACACTGCAGCTGGAATTGCTTGCCAGTTCAGTGCTGAACAGGGTAAGGATCTGTCTCGGCACGTTTAAGAGAAGTAGGACTGAAAACGCACTCTGCAGTGACCAAGCCTCTCATCAGCAGAAAGAATCAAAAGGCTAGGCATACCTTTGCTGAGGAGCATGTTGTGTGCATAGAGGAGAACTCGTCCAAAGTTCACTTTAGTGATGAGAGCAAGTTTAATTTACTTCAGACCAATCAGAAACATTTTGTTCGGCATCAAACTGAGGAAAGACTGAAGCCCAAGTGTGTGAAGAAGTCAGTGAAAGGTGGAGTGTCATGGTTTGGGGGATGTTTTCTGCAGCAGGAGTCGACCTCTTAGTCTTTTTAGCCCATACGACTGAAGTTTACGTTGTTATCCACTGACACGCTCATTAATGCCTCATTCAAGAACGAATCATCCTTTTTGAGTCAAATCCAGTTCACAAAACTGGTCTGAATGAATTTTACATAACTGAATAACTCAATGAACTAGTTGCAGCCGTTAACAGCGTAAAATTATTAGAGAATAATTTTAAAAATTTAATTGTTCCTCGCACAAAGCTAATTGATGACTTTCGAAAACTCAGAATATAGAGCACAAGTCAAATTTACTTATATGATTGCTGAATAGTGTTTTGTACCCATTTGGAAATGTGAAAGCTTCAGTCTCTATTCATTGTGAATGCATAAAAAGAGCGATCAGCACAACTCTCCAAAATTTAAAAGAAATAAAGTCAAATTTGGAATGCTGTGAGTGTGTGTAAATAATGATAGAATTTAGTTTTGGGTAAACTACCCCTTCAAGTGGTTTGAAAGGAGAATAAACTGCCTTCTGCTGCCATTAGATTGACTGACAAGAAAATTAAAAGAGAAAAATAAAATGAAGGCAATAAAGAAATAAAGGGAAGAAGTAAAGGGAAGAAAAATCGTAACAACACAAGTATGATAAGCAGTTATAGTCTTTTCTTTGGCAAGGTGACATCAGGTACATCAGACAGAGCAGGAGCACAAAAGCTGCACTGAAGACTGTATCTTTCACACAGGAGCTGTCAGGCTCTTTATGACCACACCGCGGGAGTCTACTGTAGCATGTCACATTGTCTCAATGAAGTGACAAATAAAACCGCACGCTGGAGTCCCATTGTTAACCGTGCTGGATAAACAACCTTAACTGTGATGGCTGAAGTCGTGGTGCTTTTGTTTGGGAAGAGGCCTGTGCAGAACTGAAGGAGTGGGAAGGTAAAAGGACTTAATGAAAGGCCTAAATGAAAACTGTCATCAAAGCATAGTTGTTAAAGCTGAAGGGTGCAGTTTCTGCAGAATTGCAAAAATAATATCTATTTTCCTGAATACTCCCCACATCTTCCTTTGGTGGGACAAATGGATAGCTCAGTGTAGCCTGTATTGAATTTGTTCCACAACATATTAGCAAAAACAAATATTTCTATTAAAGGGTTACTCCACCCCAAAATGAAAATTATGTCATTAATCACTTACCCCCATGTCGTTCCAAACCCGTAAAAGTTTCGTTCATCTTCGGAACACAATTTAAGATATTTTGAATGAAAACCGGGAGGCTTGTAACTGTCCCATTGACTGCCAAGTAAATTACATTGTCAAGGTCCAGAAAAGTATGAAAGACATCGTCAGAATAGTTAATCTGCCATCAGTGGTTCAACCGTAACGTTATGAAGTGACAAAAATACTTTTTGTACGGGAAGAAAACAAAAATAACGACTTTATTCAACAATTCCGGTTTTCATCCAAAATATCTTAAATTGTGTTCCGAAGATGAACGGGTTTGGAACGACATGTGAGTTAAGTGATTAATGACAAAATTTTCATTTTGGGGTGGAGTATCCCTTTAAGTTGATCTTGTCTGCATGCAAAAAACAACAGTGACTAGTGTAGAGTCAAAAACCAATGATTCTGATGAGTCAGTTCTTGTGAGTGAATAAAATGCATAAAGTGTGTGTAACTGTTTGTCTCAAAGATTGTGTTTTCTTGCAGCAAAATATAGTATCTGCTTTCATTTTTTTTTTTTTGCAGTTAGACATATTCTTGACTAGATTCCCTCATAAATAGCAAGAGAAAAAGCAAAATGAAGTGCCATGCACTAGATAATTAGCTCAATGTACTTATCATTTCACACACAGTGCAAAATGAAATGTCCACAAAAAAATCTTTGGCTTGAAATGTGACATTATGACCCTTCATACTTCACAACGCCCACTCTCCTGCCACTTACAATTACTACAGCAAGAAACATGGCATGACAGGGACCTCCTTGAAAACATTTCTTCGCTAATCTTCAGTAGCAGTGGGATGCTAAAATCCCGTCGCCTCTTAAATAGGCTTTATGAGAGAGTAAATGCGTCTAGTTTAGCTTATAAAACATTTAACAGTGTAAGGTAAGGGGGGACAGCCCTCACTCATTATTTATAGGAAGACAAAAATGACTCAGAGGGGGAAAACAAATCTCACTCATTTGCTTTACAGGACGCTGAAAATATATACAGCAAAACTCCACAATAACCCTCATGACCACATGCAAATTAAAAACAAGCTAATTTATCATGCACCAGTCGAGCACTGTTGATGAGGCCCTTCATTTCTCTCCAAGCACTTTTGGGAATTAAAAAAGCAAGGCTTATAAATAGGTTGAGTGGAATATTCATATGAACTTGCTGATATTCAGGCTAGCATTAGTAAGAACATACTTCAATTACATGTAAAATGTCACAGTAAAAAAAAAAAAATTTAATTAATTAATTAAATAAATAAATAAAAAAGTAAACCTCTCAGAAGGATTATACTTTGATTGCATGCTACATATATGACTGTAATTTACTTCAATAAATCCAGACAGATATTTTGGTGTGAATTTGGAGGGGTCAACGTAAGTACATTTTCAAATAACAAACATTACTGTTTGCCAAACAAATTTATTTAATCAAATATAATAATTCATTAATAATTTATTTCATTTCGATTCATCAAAATATCTTATTTTGTATCTCGCAGAAAACATAAACCATACATGTTTGGAGTGAGCTGTCCCTTTAAGAAACAATCTAAATTATACTTGCATGATGACAGTATGTAGTTAATTGCAATGTCAGAATGTATGTGACAACATGTAGTACATGAACTAGAAGATGTGCGACTCTTGAACCTCACCTCATCATAGATGCTGTCGTTCTTATCGAAGTCTCCAGCCTTCCTCGGAAGCACGTGAACATGGACATGCTGTAATTACAAGAGGAACAGATGAACGGTTAATCGAAAAACTTTCATTCAGCAAAGCTGAGGTCACTGTCAGAGAAAGTAAGGACAGGTACGCTCTACCACCCTCCATATCACTTCCTTCATTACAACACAGTCTTCTGGCAGCATTTCAGTGTTAACTTCTCTGAAATCATGCAAGAGTTACTGTAAGTTCCAACAAGCGTGCATCCGTAAACCTCTAAGACTACTTCTTTTTTAGGCTTTTAAAACTTAAATTGACTTTGTCAGATGTCCTCGGCGAATTCCCTTCTGCAATATGCTGTCACAAACTTGGCCATCTGCACGGTTAGTTTGTAAAATTGTGCTTTACTTGGGTGCACATTAGCAACGTAATTTGAGTCCCAGTAGAACATGCTCTGTTTTAATGAACAAAACATTTGGTTTTGTGTATACTGTGCCTACCCGACATATTTTCAGTATTTTCAATCCCCCTTTTTTTTTTTTTTTTTTTTGGAGGGCTGGGTGCATTATATTGGGCAATGATATGATGCTCTTTTTTCTTTTCGTCTGGATCTATACATTTATGTATTAAAGTAATCTGGTACAACCAACAAAGTCAAGTAATGTAACCAATATTCAAATGAAATTCAATCATGGAAGGGACCCCCTGCAGACCCTGTGCATCAAGATCAACAAGTCTCCTAAAATATCAGATAAGGTTAGTTAAGGTTAAAGGGTTAGTTCACCCAAAAATGAAAATTAGCCCATAAATTACTCACCCTCAAGTCATCCTAGGTGTATATGACTTTCTTCTTTCAGATGAATCCAGTCGGCGTTATATTAAAAAATTGTCTTTGATCTTTCAAGCTAAGCAGCGCATGCACAAAGCTGACCTCATACGTCATCTGCCCGGAACTGCTTCCAGTGTACAACAGTGAGCGCAAGCTACATTAAAGTGATTATTACATTTTGAATATGGATATTGTTCTTACAAAAATGCATTGATTCGCTACAGAAAGCCTTTGTTCACCCCCCAGAGCCGTGTGAGACACTTTCTTTTAATGGATGGGCTCATTTTAATTAAGTGCTTTTGGACTGATGCATGCAACACCCGCTGAGTGCCACGAAACAGCTTGAAAGATCAATGACAATTTTTAATATAACTCCAACTGGATTCGGTTAAAAACATTATTTTAGCATATTTTTTAAACAAATCAATCTCTAGATCAGTAGTTTTGTACATTCTTAACACAAAGGGTTCTCAAAGTCTGTCTTTACCACACAAAAACCTAAAAAATATATATGTTTAACCTGGTATCACATAAAAAAAAATAAAAAAACCTTTCTATTACTTATAAATTATATTATAAAACTCTCCATATGTTTTCTCCGTTTTCAGTGTTAAATTTGATGTGCAAAAATGCTTAACAAAAAAATTATGCAAAAAAGAGATGTAAAACTGTCACTGTTCTTTGAAGTTCTCAGTAAAAGATATTTAAAAGTATAAAACAAATCAAAGTCACACATCAAGACAGTAAAATGGAGGCCTGTCACCATTCTCCCCCAGCAGGTTTGTAATGTGTGATCATTCGCTATTAATGTATCAGAGCGTTCTGCATGAGAACAGGTGACATGACAGTGTAATGTGGACAGCATACATAAAAACCTGGAAAAATAAAAGAGCAGGCACAGAGAAGATGAGGTACCGATATGACTGGTGTCCCCTTGAAAAAGTCACGTAAAGTTTAAACGAACATGAATTTATGACAAAGCCTATTCTGATTATTTTGTCTAATCAGCAAGAGCCTACCTTTAGCCAGTCATACATCAAAACCACAGATAAACAAACAATATAATCTGCTGTCCAAACCGTCAACACTTTGGTGGTTTTCACACCGCGCTGAACTCTACCAGGCTATAATAACCTCATTACAGTGCTTTTTAATTCATTTTTCATTAGTCTGTTGTGATAAACAGCTCAGGCTTGGTGAATAAGTATTTATAAATGTTACAAACAAGATAACATGTTTGGAGGCATCTGCTTTGTTGCAATGCATTTTCTATTTAATGAGTGCATTTGCATAATGTCTGCATTATTAAACTCATCTACCTTGAGGAAAGTATGAAGAAACACAGCACACACACACACACACACACAAAAGCATTTCATCAAAAATATGTTTTAGAGGCCGTTTAGCATGGAGAAGGAAAGCTCAGTAGACCAGAGCGAGTGGCAAAGGGCCACCAACTGAATAGTGCAGAAAATTGGAAGGATAAAATGGGTGATTTTAAGAGCAACGTGACAAGCTGCAGTGAAATACGGACAAGACTTTGGGGTCAGAGTCTGACATTTATTGTAACTCATATTACATGATAAAGAATGTGGATTACCTTGTACATTATTTTATTAGCCTTGTTTCATCTTAAGTATTTAAGCATCAAAAGTAAAGTAACAGACCACATCTTAAAGGAAAATTTAGCACTCATAACAGCACATGCTATGAGTTACATTTAGCAGATTCAAATTTAATTTGTGATTCAGTGAATATATATTTTTGATCAAAAAAGGCAGCCTTGATGAGCATAAGAGACTTCTTTAAAAACATAAAAAAAAAACTTACTGATCTCAAACTTTTGAACAGCTGTGTATAGCTGTGATATATATATATATATATATATATATATATATATATATATATAGATCAAAATTGTATGTACAATTGATCATTTTGACAGCTTGACAGCTCCAGTACCCATTTGCTATATCGTGTGAGTAAATAAAGTGTTTTTGGGTGTACTATCCTTTTAAATGCTGCAGGATTGTGAATAAATTCTATAGTGTGCAATATTATAAAACAGATATTTCCAGTTATAGATGGTGATCGGTCAATGTAGAATTCCAGCAGTACATATTGTAATATAACAGCTTAATTCTAGCACTCACAGAGAACACATTTTTGTTTGCACGTCAAGCATTATATCTTCAGGCAGATGCATAACGAATTGGCTTATAAAATGTTTCACTGAAAATGTGCATCCTTAATGTTTTTAAAATGTGCTATATTATGCAGTATATACTGTGAATATGCCTAACGACAACCTTTTGCTGTTAAGAAGTGTGCATTATTGTATTAAATGTGCAAATTTTAAGTTTATCAAAAGAAGAAAATAATATTTGCAGGTGATATAGTATTTGTGAAAAAGGCCATTGATGTGTATTTAAAGATAATCCACTTTCATGCCAATGTTTTTTTTTTAACACACTTAAGTATACTTTTATAATATTGTCAAATTTAAAGTTTTATTTTTAAGTATTTTGTTGTGCTTTAAAGAAGAACACTTATTTTGATGTGCTGACTAGAGTGCTAAAACACATGTAAAGTACTTGATTATAATTGCAACTATACCATATTATTTGATATTACATTTAAACTATGGTATATGATCTTACACTTAATATGTTTAATGTGAAATGCAACTTGATCCTTACAAATGTGTAATTACAAATATATATTTTTAAAATACATGGCATGCAAGTTTCAATGGAAATGTATTTATGTTTACCATAAATGTCTGTAGTACATTTGGCAGTACAGTACAAAATAATTAATTATGAAATTACATATAAAGATGAATTCTTTATACAGTCAAAGCACTGATAAATTCAACTATCTGCATTTAATATAAATATAAATTATAATACATTTTCATTTAATTGCAAATAACATTAAATGAAGTGTCCGAAACATTATTCAATTTGCATTGAAGTGTACATTTTAAAGTTCAGCAGATAAACTGAATCTGGTATTTTTTTTGTTTTAATCATCAGATTTTCCTCTATGGTTCAAGACATACAGTCGTATCAATTTCAGAGGTGTTTATCCTCTGACAACTCATCAACTTGGTAATTTAGATTTCAACCAACCTTATAAACTTATAATACATTTCTTCAACCTTGATTTCCACAAAGAAAGGAGAGAAAGAGAGAAAACAGATCTGCAGCTGAAACCAACTTCTACTGGAATAAAAGGTTTGTAAAGTGCCCGCTCTTCAAATTAAAACAGATGTGTTTTAATTAGCTTCTGACGATGAACAAATGTGCAAAATGGCCACACTGCTATTTATATTGTTTAGGTTAAATCCAGTCAGACAAGTAGACAAATGTATTTTGTCACCAACAGCTGGCCTCCAATTAAGACATAGGAGGTCAAAAGCAACGGAGGCTCACAGCCCAAACTACCTATTAGAGGAGCAGACATCTTTCCCAGAGTCATCCACCAGCATTATATTAGCTCAAACCTTAGTATACTGCCTTGCTGGAGAGCATTTTAGGCCATTATAGGCACGATGTCAACAAAAATACCATCTCAAAATTGTAGGTACTAAAATTGGGATGCCTTCTAATATACCTCATTTTTAGGCAAAACGTAAGGCAATCTCAGAAAACATTGCAAAGACCTCAGTCCAAAACAACAACAACAACAACAACAGTGTGGCTCTGCCATGTCATGTTAGGGGTTTATGAACAGTTTGCAAGACTAGTGGCATAAATGTAAACATTACAAACATATACAGAAAAGAAAACAAACTGAGGCCGTCTCAGGAGGTGCTGCTTAAGAAACATGACTTAGTATTATCAATGTTGAAACTGGCTGGCATGCATATTCAATTTAATATTGACTCACTGAATAATAATAATAATAATAATAATAATAATTAGCAGAACTAACGAAGCCTGTTTCCGCCAAGGAAACAAAACAGGAAATATAACTCACTATTTATCTCACTATTCTGATTTTTTTTTATGAATTGCCAGATAAAAGCTTGAATTGCAAGAAAAAAATACCAGAATTCTGAGTTTACACTTTGCATTTCAGAATTGTTTTCTCTGAATTCTGAATTTAAACCTCATAATTGCACTTCTTTATTGTCGTTGTTGACTTTTATCTTACAATTCTGCATTTACATCTAAAAATTTTGTTATTTTGTTTCTGCCATGGAATAAAGAAAAAAAAAGTTTC